ACATTAATAAGCTGTTCTCTTAAAAGTCACAGTGGAAAACATCTTGAGATGGCTAAAAGAAGGAGAGATGAATCTGCTTAAACCTAAAATCTATCAGCTTATGCTTAAATATCAAGACTTCTTTAACTTGCCCTCTGGGTCTCAGGTGAGCCTTTTTAGGTCCCCTCCATTAAATATGCAGAGAAATCCATGTGCATTTGTATAATGAATCAATTGATGTAAGATTCCACAGGAGAAGGAATTGTATGCACCCTGTTCACAGCTCTAATGTAAAAATCTGATACATACTACATCCAATAAATACGTGTTGGATGAATCAATGTGTGAGTAGACAACATAATTCTGTTCTTCTTCTACTAAAGAATTATACTCAATACAGATTCCAAAATTGATAGGTAGGTATTTAATTTTTATTTTCTTGTTTATTATTATGATACTCTTAAAAATAAGAAATTAAAAATGATAAAGTTGAACGGCAGGGCTAAAAAAAATTGTCAATACAGTCCTACACTTGTAAGAACTGAAAACATTTTGATTATTGATATTTCTTGAGAAAGGTTTTTACTGCTAGACAAATTGTCTCATTTGCTAGTAAGCTTTCAAAACTAGTTCTACTACATTCAAATTCCTCATTTCCTTTCATAGTGATTACTCTAACAGGCTACTCTATTTTTTGCAGCCTTTATGTTTTTGCCTCAAGCTTTAACTGATTATATTCTTTGATTTCCTTACTCTGGTGTAGATTCCTTTCAAACTACAGATCCTAAAAGCGATACTAGCTGGTTTTTGTTCCCTAGAGTGTTTTTTTTTCTCCTACCCTTCAGGATAATTATATTCTGTTGTGCCTTTTATTATCGTTGTCTTTTAGGATCTCCTAACCTTCTACACTCTTGGGTTTTATTTAATAGTGAGCTCCCTCCTCAACTCTCCACACTAAACCATGCTCATTAGGGTTCTTAATCCTCCATAATTTGCTTTCATGAAATCTTATACCTTTGAGTTGCTGTATTCTGAGTCCATTTCCTCAGTATAGCAATTCCAACCAGCCCAGAATCAACAAGCACTAAACATAAGCTCATTCACTTTCTCAGCCAACATGACTCTACGAAAAAAAAAAAAAATCTTTGTTTTGAAAGTTTATGGAGCATGAAGCCATACCATTTATGTTGGTACTTCATTTTCTCACCCAAACATTGCCTGAGAAGGTTAGATCACAGAATTAGTCCATCAGCAGTCCGTAACATGCAGTTATTAACTTGTAAGTATCAGGTTCTTCTTGGTCAGAAAGCTATTCTACTTTAATAGAACAGAAATAACAATATCCTGATGTTATATTGGTGACTAGTGAATTCCAAAGAATCTTTGTCTTATCCCCAGAATTCAGAAGAGGAGAAAAACATCTTTTTTCAGTTAAACTGCCAGAGGTTTGCTTTTCCAAATGGGTTGTTTTTGAAAGATGTATACATTCTTGAAACTGGACTACAGAGCCAACTCTGGATCTTTTCAACAGCTCATCCTCTGCTTTTTCTTTCAGTCTCCTCATTACTAGCACCTTGGCTAGTATGTACCTTGGAAGGGCCAAGAAAGCATATACTGTGGTATTTTATTAACTTCCTGGGAAAGTTGCTTTGAATTAAAAAAAAAAAATCTCAGTAGTGGGTTGAAAGAGTTAACAAAATTTCCAAAGGTGCCTCCCCTATTCAAGAAAAGTTTACACTTCAACTCTGTGCATGTTAACTTGCGATCCTCCCCATCTAGATGATAGAAAGCAAAGCCAGTAAGTTCTTTATTTAATTGGTTTGTATCCACACACTGACCTCCAGGGCTCTGTTTATATAGCCTATCATGCAATATGCTCCACAGTTCTCTGCCTCTTTCAAAAGCATGTTTCTCCTGAGATTTGATATATGGCTTTCATGTTTAATCACTACATTAAACTCAATGCTCTGCTTCCTCCAGCATCAACTAACTTCCCTCCTTGGGAGGTGGGGAGAGGAGCACAGCCTCTTGCTACTTCTGAACATAAAAGGAAGTCTGTTTTACTCTATTAGTAAAATCACCAACTCCACATGATCCTAGGCAAGCAACATTATTAGTACTTCAACTAGGAAATGGTGTTAAAACGCAAAACTTAAATCTCCCTTAGAATGAAAGTATGCTGACTGCTCTCAATTGGCAAAGTCAAAAACCTCACATGACTGAGTTATGAATCAATGGAAAAGGCCTTAACCAGTACCTAATTTAGCACATAGACACCACAACTATGGAAGCCAAGGTTTTAACCAAATTAATCTTGAGGACGGAACATTCCTGGGGTTCTCAGATTAGAATTAATTCACTGCCTCTGCATCATAGCTGTAAGTTTTCTTAACCACAGAATTCACCAAAAATAGAACTTTCAGTCTCTTCCTTTGAAGGTAGACACGGAAATGCCATGATCTTTTACATAATAATTTCTATGTGATGCAAATTTCTTGGATGAAAACCTGAAAAAAACACTCTTTTTCAATAATTCAAGAAAATCTATAATTTTCAGGTTTTAAAAAATCTTCTGAAATGTAAGTATCTTACTTTAAAACATATCAAGCAATAAAAAATAAGTATGGCAAATCATTAACAATAAAATGTAGGTGACAGCTACATAAGTATTCATTGTACTATAGTTTAATATGCAGTTGGAATTTTTATCATAAACTTTTTTAACTTTAAAAAAATGAAGTTTTTATGAATCTGCTTTCACAGTGGAAGAACTGACACTATGCTGGTTAAAAAATTTAAATCACTTTCATTGCAAGCAAGCATATATGCTTGCAATGAAAGAATCTCAACTGAACTTGAACTGTGGTAATGCAACAAAGTGGAGGAATCCACCATGTGGGGAGGGTTGAGAGAGGGGTGCAGGAAATTCCAGTACTTATAAAACTGTGTCACATAATACAATGCAATTGATTAAAAAAAATTTAAATAAAATTAATTTTAAATCACTTTCTAAATTAATTATTTATAATATCTTCAACAGCTGAAATTTTTATCGCATGTTGGAAATGAGAACTTCCTATTTTCCCAAATATTACTCCACAGACTGAAACTTATTTATACAAGCTGTGGATGTTGTTGCATATAATATTCATAGCTGTGTACTTTTCTCAAAAACTATGTGTATATACATATATATGTATATGACACATGTACATATTTTAATGTTGAAATCCTTTTTTATGGCTAGTAATTGACCATGGTATTTATTTTTTAAGGTTTCTATTTTCTTAGCATCATCCTTCATTTTAAAATCTTACTGTGTCACAGCTATATACAACATTAACCAGAGCTAGGTTACTTTCATTTGATGAACAATAGAAAATCTGAACCCATTAGAAAAATACATTTAATTATTCCAATATGCTCTTATTTCTAACCAAAATTTGCATGATTCAGAATTCTAACAAATACATTTTTAGCTTCTTTTGTCATTATTTCTTCATTGAAAAGTCAGCTAAAACAGTTTACAAAAATTACCTATTTCTTAATATTATACCATCTGAATTCTTCTCACAGTATAGATATATTCAAAGTAAAAAGGATAAACTTTTAATCAATATTCTGCAAAAGACAATTATGTACAAAACTTTGTAGTTTTCAAAGACATGTATATGTTGCTTGTGATGAACACTTTAAAAATTAAAACTTGAGAAAATAAAAGTCTTATACAAAAATCTTTGGTCATGAAAGAGGTGGGCCTATACAGATGTCATAATTATTTTCATGATTAACACTAACCTTCAGTACTGTAATTTAGCAGCACACTTTAGTCTGAATTTAAAAGTTTATCACAAATTATCTATATTTCACAACAGAGGCCTATTGTTTCAGTTCTGTACTCTATTTTCAGGTTTACCTTTAAAATGAACCTAGTATAAGTTTTCATTTTTAGAAGTTATATTCTAGAAACCTGTAGCCTAAAATAAAAAATGGCTTCATTTTTTTAAACAGAATTAAATCAGACTGTAATAAAGAAGGTTCTTAATATGTTGAAAATTGATTGGCAGAGATGAAGACATGTAATTTATGTAAAATCAAATTATCTCTATTACTCATTATATTTTTGTGCCTAAAGATTCTATTTAAAAATGTCAGACTTTCCACTACATTGAGTCACCTTCTGGAAGTCCACAGAAGAATTGGTCAACGCAATACCATCCGCATTCAGTTTTTATTAATTCATACAGTTCATACAAAGTGTTTGCCTTATGTGGTCACGAGTAAAAGCAACTCAGAAGCCATGCAACACACTGAGTAGAGAGATTTCTGGAGGTATGGTGTTCAGACTAGGTGATTTCCTCACCCACATCTACAGACTTCATGGTTAGAAGGCCTCCATGAACCGGATGAAATACAATGAAAGAAAGGCAAAGCGTATGAGGCAGAAAAGCACAGTGGCTCCTTGACACCACCATCAAAAATAATTTACCACACTTGGTTGCTTTGTGAACATGATAACGAAAACATCTTAAAGTTAAAATACAGTCTAGCACAAAGTAGAGTAATAATGTTATTTTTTAAATTCAACAAGCTATATATTTTTGGCAAATTATTTTCTTCAGGAATTAAAAACAAATGTTTATTTATCTACTAACAATCCATCACAGGGTGTAAATTCCTTTCAACTCAAAAAGAGGTAATTTTTGTGCCTTTATATACCTAAAACTTCAGCAAGTAACATAAAAGCATGGTCAAATCTGTAAATTACATTACATTCAACTTTAGTAAAAAAAAGAAAGAAAGAAAGAAAAGAAAAATCAAATGAGGCTGAAAAAAATGTAAATTCCACTCATTGTAACACAATAATGGCTTGAGGTGCCCTCAATTTTCTATCACCCCTTGCAGGTACAAAGCATTTAATGCCGACTGCAGAGCTGGGAAGGATCCCCAATGATTCAAAGCAGCCATAGCTCTGTTTGGAGGTGGGGCTCCTGCTCTGAAGAGACTTCCCAGCCTGTTTAAAATCAAAATGGTTCGTGTTCGGATGAATCACTCCTCAGAGATTGACGTAAGTAAAATATTAGAATAACATTATTAATATAAACATACCTGAGCCAGAGTCATACTTGGTTTCTGAGCTGAAAAGCAAAAAAAAAAAAAAAAAGTAAATAAATAAATACAAAAGCTGTCCGCAATAATTATTTTGTGGGTTGAGGAGGATATAATAATTATAGATTTTAGTATATTGACTAAGAAATAAAATAGATTTCTAAAATATAAACATATACCTATTTTGACTACTTCAAAAGCATGCATTATCCAAGGGCCCCTAAATATAAATATCATATTAAGATACATGCAGTATGAAAAAGATATTTAGTTTTAAAGCTTGTCTTGGAGAGACAGTAATTTATTCTCTCTAAAAGTACCCAATCTTTACAGAGTAACTTTCTTCAGTAATATAATGCAATAAAATTTTATAATAATGCTTTTTATTTTTAAAGATATTCAATTACTCAAAATCAACTAATTTTTCACTAAGTTCTTAGCACACAGCAAATGAACCTATTCACCTCATACATCTAATAAGCAGGAGAGAAAGTCTGGGGTCTTTGTGGGAACATTATGTTTCAGATATATGTTAATACTGGTTGTAAATTCAAAAGCCTTTGAAGCTCTCTGTTCGGCTGTGGGAAAACTTCTGTTGGGTAATTACTTTCAAGATGCGGCTGATGTGCTGTCAAGCAGAATTAACCCTGTGACTAGGCCTATCTACACAAGCTACTATAAGACAGCATTGTCTATATCTAGCTCTCAACCCAATTAGTAGGCATGCTCCAGTTGGATTTATATCACACATTAACAATCAATAGTATATATGTTCACAGCTGCCACAGCGAGAGACAAGAAGCAACCAGCAGGAGTCCTGTTAAGGGATGTTACATTGACAGAGAAGATTTTTTCCCCTTGGGGGAAATGTAGTTAACTAAGTGGGAAAGGAAATTTCTTTGAGAGTATGCCAGGATACCAAAGCACATTTGGAAGCAGTGGCTTTCTTTCACTAAATTAATTTCAAGAAGTCATCAAAGGTGCAACGGTGGGACAACCAAGGTTCCTTGGTCATGAGTATTCATATTCTCAAGCATTCATGCCCCCCCCCAAAAAAAAGCCTCACCTCATGCTGTAAGTAAATAATTGCATGTACAGACATGCAGACACACACACACACACAATTATTGCTGTCACAGTTACGAATAATCACCACTTGGAAATCTGGGTTCACCATTCCCCAAGCCTTGGTCCCACCACTATCTTCAATCTTTCCCATTCATGTCCCTAGTTCCTACTTGAACCCTTCTTTACCTTTCATCCTGACCCTGCTTCCTTTGTCCCCCTTTGTGTTTCTGTATTACTGAACATACCCCCAGTGACACCCAGCACACACTATCCAGCTCATTTCCTTCTCCACTTCCACCATGACAATGCCACGTTAGAGCATTTAGCTGCCCAGATGAGACTCTGGTTGGGATGCCCACATCTAACATAGCAATGGCTGGGCTTTTCAGAACTTCTTCCAAACCTTCATTTTGGTGTTGCCTGGGAAGCGACAGGTGATGGTTCAAATGATTGTGCCCACACCTTGTTAACCACTATACCCACTAGCATCTATGAAATGCTGCCTGGTGCTCCTGCTCAAATAAATGCCTGCTCTCGGAAACTTCCACATCTGCACTTGACCTTTCTCTGTTGCACCTTAACAAAATGGTTGTTCTTCCTTTTCCTTCCCTCCACCCCTGTTCTAAATGAACTCTCATCTTCCCTGGATTTACCAATCACTCCTTCTCTCTATTGTGTCTTCTGCTGTCGATGGCATCCTCTTCTCTACAGCATCTAACTACTCCAGAAATTTCTGTAAAAACCATTATCTTAAATTGGTGCTTTCTTTGTTATCTTTTCTGTTATCTATGGCTTTATAACCAAATTTACTAAGAGGATGGATTATATACTATATTTTGTATCTTGCTTTACTGATCTTCCAGCATATTCACTGCTTGAACAATTACAGTGAGTCCTTGCTAAGGGTTACTAATGAGTTTTTTTTTTCATCTATGAGTCAGTGAGGAATTTAATAAGAGAAAAGAAACTATTTTTGAAGAAATGAAAATAAAAATAGAAATATTAAAACCCATGAGTTGCAGAAAAATAGTATTCAAGGGGACACTGGTCTTATGTTTTGCTTGAAGGTTGCCTTATATCAGAGAGAACATACTAGATATTTGTCCTTTATGGATTGACTTATTTCACTTGAGCATAAGGTCTCTATGGGACCATTTGGTTGCACACGGTAGAACTGCATTCTTTTTAAGGGCTGAGCAGTATTCCATGGAGTAGATGTACCACAGGGTTTGTGGGGTTTTTTTTGTTGTTGTTTTTGTTTTTGTTTTTTTTGCATTGCTTTTTTTCTCCATTTCTTAATTTATTACTATCATTTTATGATACAGTTTCATAGACCCTGGGATTTCCTTCACCATCTTCCCATATCCCACCCCCCACACCACACACACACATACACTGAGTTCTCCCATATCATTATAACAGAATAAATAGTCTTAATAAACAGTTATAAGTCCATCATTGTGGGCATGGACAATGGCAGAGATCCAGAATTCCATTGTCAAGACAGATCAAACAGTTTCACTGGGAGTCCATCCTTGATCCCAAAGTAGAGATGCACACTGCACTATATCCTCACATCTAGATATGACAGTCTCCACTACACAGTCACTATAAATCCCCCAAGTGAAAAGCCACACAAATCAACAAGGAGAAAAAATTATTTACAATGCCATGAAATTAAGCAATATGCCACTGAATGACTAATATGTCAATGAAGAAATGAAAAAGAAAAGCAATAATGTTTTTGAAGAAAATGATGTTACTGTATGTTCTATGGGTATTTGAAGAATTTAATGAGGAAAAAAAGTGTTTTGAAGGAATGAAACTAAAAACAAAAAATGTCAAACCCATGAGATACAGTTTCTACTGATTTTTGTTAGTGAGATGTGTCTCCTATAGGCAACAAATAGATGGGCTTTCTGTTTTTAATCCAGTCTACTAATCTATGATGTTTGATTGATGGGTTTAAGCCATTTACATTCAGGGTTAACGTGAATAGGGGGTAATTTGGTCCTATCATTTAGCAATGGGTTGTTTATTGATTTAATATTCTCTTGTTACTTTATGGGATGTTCCTCATGTTTGCCTTTGGTTTTGGTGGGTACTATTCCTTTTCTCTGTCAAAAGAACATCTTTTAGTATCATTTGTAGTGAAGGTTTCGAAGAGGCATATTCTTTGAACTTTTCTTTACTGTGGAAGAATTTTATTTCATTTTCAAAGACAAAGGAAAGCTTTGCTGGGTATGTTATCCTAAGCCAACAATTTTTTTTCTTTTAGAAGCTGAAATATGTTGCTCCATTCTCTTCTGGCCTGTAGTTTCCTGTGAGAAATCTCCTGTGAATTTAATTGGCATTCCTCTATATGTCAATAGATCTTTTTTTCACATACACATAAGGATCTTTTCTTTGTTTAATTAATGAGAGCCTGATTATCATGTGTCATGTTGAAGATCACTTTTAGTCAACCCTGTTGTAAGTTGTGTGCCCCTCCTGTAATCTGTTTTCCAATTCTTTCTCCAGATTTGGGAAACTTCATTATTTCATTAAATATATTTGTCAACCCAACTTCTCTTTATGCACTTTCTGGGACTCCCATAACTCTTACATTTGGCCTTTTACTAGTGTCTTTCAATTCTTTTTTTTTTTTTAGCTTGACCCAGCTCTGCTTCCAGCTTTTTGTTTGTTTCATCATGGTGACAAGAAATATCTTCCAATTCTGAGATTCTTTCTTCTGCCTCCTTCATGCTATTGAGACTTTTCACTGAATTTTTAATTTGCTCTATTGCATACTTAATTTCCCTTGTTTCAGTATTGCTATTTCCTGTGTGACAAACTCCTTAAATTCCTTAAATTCCTTTATATGCTCCATAATGACTTTTCCAAATTCTGTATTCCCCTTTTTCAGAATGTATTCTTCAGTTAACTCTGAGCTTAGCAAAGGCTTTTGCTCCTTTGCAGGGCATTCTTCAGTAATATTTACTGCACCTCTGTCTCTGCGTTTGCTCTTGCTTATTGCACTTCTAGTTAGCACTTCTAGTTAACCTGTAGGGCAGGTTTCTAAGCTGTGCCACCCACAGTTCTGCAATTTGATTTTACTTATTGTGGTTGGTACACAATTCTTTGTTTGCAGTCACTTGTGCCACTCACTCCAGCAAGTTTAAGATATGGGCTCTTACATTAAACTTCTACCATGACCTGCTATCCTCTGCTGCTTTCCCAGGTCATAAACAGAGAATTGGATGAGAAGTGGAGCAGCTGGGACATGAAACAGCAGCACCCATATGGGATGCTGGCAGAGGATTGACCAGTTGAGCCATCACACCGGCTCTTCTCTGGGTTTTATATGGCTGCCCAAGCAGGACTATCTTTTTCTCCCATCTTCCTTGTATGTAATTAGTTGTGAACATGTGGTTAAGTTCCCACCAAAAGGATGCAAGCAAAAAGTACCATTCCTAATGTGTGGGCCATGTCCTTAACAGGGAGGACTGCACCTGTTCCCTTCTTTCTGTTTCCTTCCCACAACCCAGATGGTGGATAGGACATAGATCCTGGGAAAAATTGATGTTAGCACAGTAAAGGTAGAGTCCATAGAGTTGCTCTGTCAATTCCAAAACTGTTAGCTTCTGTAGGCCAGGATTATTTTGAAGATTTGTTAGAGTATTGAAGATGCATTCTGAAAGCAGCATTACCACATTTAAAGTTTTAATTAAAACCTGTAAAATTAACTTGCAATTGAAGTTTCTGTGACTTTTAAATCAGAAAATGCACAAAGCAGAATTCAAATATCATTTATATATTGTAAATAATTTAAAATGTACAATACATGCATCTTTTGATATCAGAGTTGCAGATTTTTACCAAAAAAATCAGTTCTGTCCTTTGGTTAGAGTTGTACATTTGGGAATATTAAACTACTTCTGTCGGCTGACATGATATCCTAGTGTTCATGAAATATGAAAGT